CAAGAGCTGCCAGCTCGGAAAATATTGGTGGAGGACGCATGAGACAGAGTATCCAACTTTATCGAAGATGGCCCGTGATTTTCTCTCAATACCTGCAACTTCAGTACCTGCTGAGAGATTATTTTCTAAAGCATCATTAGTAATTAGAAAACATAGAAATAGGTTAAGTGATGAGTCAGCCAGATGGTTACTTTGTATTAATTCTTGGTCAAAAGAATTGATATAAAGTAACAGAACCTAATGACAAAGCTATTATGTTATTTGTTTTGTGTTGTATTTTATTTTTTATTGAAATAAATGATAAATAGTAAAACTCTATTATAAAATTTCATATAAGTTGAGGGTTCAATCTCTTTCTAGAGAGATTCTTTAAAATACAGTCAATTTATTGTTAATAATTTGTTTTTTACATGTTTTAGCACATGTAAGCTTATAAAGCGTAAATGTTTATTAAGAAACAGTTACTCCCATGGAAAACGGAATATAGCTCAGTTGATAACCATGTAGCAGTTATCGAATTTTTTATCAAATCTTCAAACATTTATTAATTTTATTGTTATTTACTATGGCTATGTTAATTCCTAAGATCTAAAGTAAACTTTAATAAATAGCAATAGCCTAATAGGTAATTGCAAGACTTGCAAGACTCTTGCTGCAAGACCAAGACCAAGACCAAGACCAAGACTGGCCAAGTCTCGTCTTGTTCTTGTATTTGGGCAACACTAGTAGAAACATTGAGATACATTCGATAACTAATAAAGATCAAATTCCTTGGATTTTATCTTTAAATCTATTACCATAAATAAATGTAATAAATTAAAAGAATACTAAATATTTAATTACATATGGTATTTTCTAAATAAAATATATATCTATGTTATAAGTAATGGAAAGTGTTCCGATATAATAAAGTTTATATTTCCATGAAATTAAACGCCATAATAAAATTTCGTTAGATTGGTTCACTATAATAATGTAAACAATAGACATAATTAAATGCAGAGTGTCCATTAATATCTAAGCTTAGTTCGTGCGTGGACAACGCTCAATAATAGACTGAACAGAATAATTACTCTTTTGAAAGAGATTAATTGTGATCAAAATTAATTAAGGTGTTATGAATTAATATGGGAATTTTTATTTGAGAGAAATACATAAATATTCACATACATACATTGAAAAATCACGTGAGAAAAGTCATTGTGATCAGTTATAGTTTACACAAATTGTGACTTAATTAGTGACTCAATTAAATTAAAAAATTTAATTAAGTCACAAAATGTAATATTCGCAGGATTATTTCTTCTTTCACGTGTTCGTGCACCATTTGTTCGTTGAATTTCATAAAACTTAGTGCAATATTAGCATACATCAACTCAGACGTTAAACCTTTTTTATTAATAACACTCAAAGAGTAAAAATAGTATTCCTAGGTAATAACTATCCACCATTATATAAATCACTTCCTATACTTTAAAACACTTTACACTGTAATATCTATTAAATATCATTTTTTATTTTATAACTTTAAGGCTCTGTCTCCACGAGCGAAAGAATCGCGACGATTTTGCACTTCTATCGTCGGGTCATCTCCACGAATGAGCAATTATTCCGCCAACATGTCGTCACGATTTGTGACGCAATAGCAGCGTGTCCGCAATGACTCGTCGGAAACGCCGTAGTTCCTTGACGATGTGTTGTTCTTTTATTTGTTGAGAGTTCAGTTAGATGCCAGACGAGAGCAAAATGGTGTTGTTTATAAAATGCTTAATGACGCGCTCGCGGCGTCGCGGCGACCGCGCCTCCAATGGCGACGATACGACGATGTTACGCGTGTACATTGCCACTCGTCGCATTGCCATGATTACATCGCCATGTGGAGACGCGTCCAAAGACAGTATATAGAAATATGA